GTCTCATTATATAGTTTTGTATGGTTCGTACCTCTGACTGCACCATATATTGTGCGTAAGGCATCTTAGTGAAAGTATTCTAGTGACAAGGACTGTTCGTTTGTACAATTGTCCAAGAGATGGTAGCAATAATCAAATAAAGCTAAAATGTTGGATTTATAATTTTTTCTAGAGTTTTGCATGACAGTCTGTATTTAAAACTACAAAGGCAGTAAATCATAATTTTCCTTCTCATTTCATTAATGTGGGAATGCCAAAGGAGGTTTTCTTGAAAAGTAATACCTAAGTGTTTATGAAACTAAACTTCATTTATAGGGCTACCATTCATCGATAGGGTAGGTTTCCTAGAATGCTCAGTTTTGGGTGAAAATTGGATAGTTTCAGTTTTGTTTGGATTAAATCTTATTTGCCACGTTTCCATGAGAGTAAATGCACTCGTGTAGGGATCGTTGATTATTACATAAAGTGATAAAGTTTTAATTCTGATTTGTAACCTTGAATAACTACTCTTTGTATTCTATTTTGTAAATAACTTTCAAACCATTTCAATACCTTCCCATCTATCATATATGATTTTAGTTTATGGATAATCCCTTTGTGCCAAACTTTATCAAAAGCCTTAGTTATATCACAGAAAACAGCTCTGACTTCTTTTCCATTATCCATAGCTTTAGCAATAAAATTATACAAATACGTAAGTTGGTAAGCTGTTGAATCTCATGGCATGAATCCAGATTGTAAATTTGAGAGACAATTATTATGTCTCATGAAGTTAGAGACATTTTTCAAAGACCTTGGATATACAAGATGTTAGGCAAATGGTCTATAGTTAGAACAGTCGTTAGTATTACTTTTTCTTGTGGATTGGTATGACAGATGATTCTTTCCACATACAGTCAACTCAAGATGAGTCGAATCTCTGGGGACCAAGTAATAAATTCGACTTATCGATGTATTTGAGACATAGGTATGTCTATGAGGTAGAGAAAAGATGATCCAGTCCTAATTCCTCCGCCTAAGCATTTGTTTATCTAATGATTTAATAGGAGCACCTTATCAGTTCCCGTCTGATTAGCACAGACATTGATTTCCGTAAAATCACTAATCTGCCTTTTGAACTCACCCGTCAAAGGCGGAAAGGTGTGAGCCGCGCTGTTTTGTTAATTGGATCAGTTTGCTACACCAATCAGCTTCTCATTGACTGACTTCGGCTTATGTATACAAGATTGCTGTTGTTTGAATCTCATGGGACCAAATTTTCTTCTCGAGTCATCGTGTGTATTTATGAGACGAATTCGTGTAACTGGTATTCAAATGATGACAACTATAACAGGGAATGGTCGGGACCGACAGGTACATCGAGTTATGCATAATATTCGAGACACTGGCATTCGACTCATCGGGATTTGACTGTATCTTGAAAAACTGATGTTTGAAGTGACTTATTAAAAAGGTTAGTTAATGTTAGTGACAAGGAAGATGATATCAAATGTAAGAAAAGATTTCCACTACCGTCTGGTCCCGTCGCTTTGGTAATGTTTAACGATGATTACACATCTTCAACATCCTGCTTTGTGAGATATAAGTCACTCAAATAATTACTATTATTGTTTCAGGTCATGTGTGGAATATCCTTATTAAGGTCAGCTATTGCTGCCTGGTCAACAAAGTCATTATTTAAGACAAATTGCTATTGATTCTGGTTTTTCACAGACTTTGTTATTATGGCTAATAGGAGGGAAGGAGGTACTTTCAGATTTTATGTTCATGTAATTTTTAACTAAATGCCACCATAGTTTAGTGCTATGATTATTGTTTATATGAGTGTCTAATTTTATTATATAATCCTTCTTGGCTTGTCACTTGATTTCTTAGTCAAAATTATTTGTTCATGTTCAAATATTCTATTGTCCACAAAACTTTTACAGTCTGTGCTTTTGATACATATTAGCCATGTTCCTAAATTTGGGTATGGTATATGTTCACATAATAAGTGAAACAGAACAAAATCATAATTTCTTTCATGTGAACACATCTTTTAGAAATAGTTTCAAAGATTCACTAATTTCTAATATGATGAAGATCTAGTGGACCATATGACCCTATAACAGTCAAGCATGTCAACTCTGGCTAGATGCAAGAAGGACATTGTGTGCTTGTTTTAGCTGGAATGGGCAAGCCTTCAGTGGAATGATACTACTAGCTGGGATTTCATCTATTAAAAAAAAAGAGAATGGATTGTCCCTTAAAATGTCTCAAAAACACAATCATACTTCAAATGTAACGTATGTTATACGGTCAGCTCTTGTTAATCCGACACTTGTGGTTGCAGAGAAATATGTCGGATTACCGAGAATGTCGGATTAATGTATTTGTGTGAAAATATCACAGTTTACTAAATGTCATGATCGCCATACTGTTGCATGCATATCAGAAATTGTAGATCTGGTTATCGTCTTAGTATGTAAAAATATTCACAGTAATAAAAAATATAACAATACATCCTTGATATCATTTATAAACATTCATAGATGGTATAACATACATATAAAATCTCATAATCAATCAGTTTCGTATCGATTTCAAAATCACATTGGCACAAAACTCACGTTTGTTTTTACCGGTCTTCGCTATTTCGCTCTCAGCAGCCATTATGACCCGGATGTTGAATAAGTCACTGTTTACATACAACTATTTCCACACTAACATATGGATGTCTGGTGAACAATAATTTAAAACTTGAAAAAGTCTTTGATGGTTTTTTGTTGTTCATTTTTTCCGGAGGTCTTCAGCAATTTAGTTTTCAAAGTGTCAATGAAGTCGAGGTCATTCACATCAAACACGTCTAAGTGGTGTGTCACAAATGTCTGCAAAATGTTCAAAGATGTTTTGGCCTCAGATAACTTGGGAACGACTGGCTCGGTTGTCTGGTCTTCTTCAGTGTTGATTTCTTCTTCGGCAGTAGGTCGGACAATCTCGATTATTTCATCTTCAGTCATGGCTTCCTTACATGGCAGATTTGCATCATATTCTATGAATTCGCTGACAGGTACGGGTGCATCTGGGTAGAGCTGGGATTTGGGATTACACTTTCTTAGTGAGTGAGTGAGTGAGTGAGTTTAGTTTTACGCCCGCACTCAGCAATATTCCAGCTATATGGCGGCGGTCTGTAAATAATCGAGTCTGGACCAGACAATCCAGTGATCAACAGCATGAGCATCGATCTGCGCAATTGGGAACCGATGACATGTGTCAACCAAGTCAGCGAGCCTGACCACCCGATCCCGTAAGTCGCCTTTTACGACAAGCATAGTCGCCTTTTATGACAAGAATGGGTTGCTTAAGACCTATTCTACCCCGGATCTTCACGGGTCACACTTTCTTAGTAAAGTACAGATTCTAGTACTTTTTGGGTTGAGTCCCATCTGGGATTCAGAGTCAGGCACCTAATTGCCAGCACACAAAGTCAGACGCTAGACCGCTCAGCCACCGTGGCTTCCATCATATATTTCACATTCTTTAATAATGCATAGAGGCACTGTATCCGACACACAGGTGATAACAATGATTACATTTGCACATTCTTTCATTCAGCCAATACGAATGTTCTTTGAAATGGATATCAGGAACTGATCCAAGGATTTCTGTCCAGCACAAAGGTTCTTGAGGCGTTGTTGGTGATCTTTGGTTGCTTTCTTGTAGCTTGTACTGGGCATCTGAGTCATCATCATTCCTGTGCCCTACACCCAGGTGATCTATAGCCTGTAAATAGTCATGATATGGCTGAAATATTGCCGATGTGATGTTAAATATTAAGTCACTCACTCTGACAAGGCTGATTTCATGTCAGAATTCTTCACCAATGCTTTGTGCTCTTTCATACGAGTACATACAGGCCTGCCTGTTTCACCTATGTAGGTGCTGCCACATGTACATTTCAATTCGTATACACACCCTCTTGGGTTAGGGGTAGTTTGCTGCTTCCTTTACCACTGGCCTTTAATTAAGATTTTAGGGGTTTGCCAGATGAGAAAGTAGTGTCGATGCTGGCAGTTTTCTTAGAAGTGTACTGATGTGATTACAGATGGATCCAACATAGGGAATGTTTATGCGGATTGAGGATGGTTCAGGTTTAGTTGGAGGTTGATCTCATGGTTCTAAGGTGGTCTTGATTGTGGTTTCTACAAGGGGTCTCAGGCAGCCATTGAGGGTGATAAAGGTAGATTTGAGGTGGCCTAATTGTTTTTGAAGATTGGAGGGACTGCAGATGTTTTTGGCACGTCTTGCAAGCGTTGAAACGATGGCTCTCTTGATCTGGGGATGATGGTTGGAGTGATGATGGATATATTGGGAGCGTGGTTTGGCTTAGGGTAGACAGAAGTGATTAGATGGTTGTCGGAGTTCTGGATGGTGATGTCTAGGAAAGGGAGTTGATGTTTCTCAGTCTCCATAGTGAACTGGATACACTGGTGTTGTTTGTTCAGATGGTTGAGCAGGAGCGAGATTCTTGTTCAGGATAGTGAATGTGTCATCCACCTTCCGTTACCATAAGGGTTGGATGGGGGAGGTGGAGAGAGCAGCTTCTTTAAAGTTAGTCATGTAGATCTCTGTTATGAGAGGTGACAGAGGAGAACCCATGGGTAAGCCATGTATCTGCTGGTATGTTTGGTTCTGCCTACTGAAATAAGAAGTCTCAAAACAACTATGTACAAGATTGATGATGCTGTCAACAGTTAATTTAGTGTTTATGTCATTGTTGGTAGCTGTCTGTCTAATATCCTTGATCTCTGTACCTTTCATTCTTTATTCCATCTCACTGGCCTCCTGTACGTACTATATATTTTGCTTGTGATCATATTCTGTCATTCACCTGATGAAGGGGTAGCCCAGAAATGTCGCGTTGTAAAAACTAGTAATAAAGAAGTTGTAAATACATACCATACATTGTTATGTTAACACTGACTCAAGAGTTCCAGTGATTAAAAGTAAATAGTACTTACCTTATTGGTACAGTGAGAGTAACTGTTTCCATTTTCATCTTATTTCTCCTCTGACGATCAATCTGTTCAAGCATCTCCCGAAGTACCTCCATAAGATCACTGAACTGAAACATGACAGAGGTATGTCTTCTTCATATATCTCTGCATATGTATATGTCCATTTACATATGTCTCTGCATATATAACTCTTCTTACAAATTTCTTATATATATATACTGTCTTCTTCATATATCTCTGCATATAGATAACTCTACTTTCATATGATACTACTTTGAAGCACAGCATTTTAAAGGATTTTCAAGATTTTTGTTTGAGAGGTTGTTTACCACTTTTTATATCACAGATTTTAACAGACAGACAATTTCGAGTCCGAGGGGGTCAACCCTGTCTGATCATTACAGTCAGGATCAGGGAGTTCCACAAAGTCAGGATCAGGGAGTTCCACAAAGTCAGGATCAGGGAGTTCCACAAAGTCAGGATCAGGGAGTTCCACAAAGTAGTCTTTTGTCTGTCACATTGTTTAGTATTAAATAAATAGTTTTTCAAAGGATTTAACTGATTCAGAAGATGGATCAACATTTGTGGATGATTTTAATGTTTCTTGATTTGGTAAAAATATGTATACAACAGAGAGACAGCTAAATTTCCTGAATCCAAAACTAATTGTATACATTCCTGCCATAAATTTAAACCGCATTAAGACCCAGAACTATTTTTAAATGGCACCCACATCAAAGTTGGAAAGGAGGCCAAGTTTTGAGGGTTTATTTTTTACTCTCGTTTGACTTTTTTTACCACATACTAAATGCCTAAAAAATAAATGCCTGAAGGGACTTGACTTGTTGAAAGTCGTTTCTAATTCCAAGTGGGGAGGGGACCAAACTACCATACATTTATACAGATCACTCATCCACTCGAAACTTGATTATGGCTCCATCGTATATGGTGGAGCCTGTAACAGCAACCATAAACTATTAGATTCTGTCAATCACCAAGGTTTAAGACTTTGTCTTGGATCCTACAGGGCTTCTCCTGTTGGTAGTCTCTACGTTGAGGAGCTATGTCTTAAACAATGCTGTATAAAATTATCTTTAAGTATGTCACTTTATTCTAATGATTCCAACCCTGCATATAACTGTGTCTTTAATCCCCTCTATGATGATCTGTACAACAAGAAGTTTTCTCTAATTCCGCCTTTAGGAATAAGAACCAAACCTTTCCTTTCTGCTGCTGGCATTGAGATACAAAATAAACCTCCTTCCCACCAGATTTCTTCTCCTCCTTGGCAATTAGTGAGGCCACAAGTTGACCAGAACAATATCTTCTCGATTACCAAATAACAGCTCTATTTTCACAGCAGAAGCAACCACCACATTAACAGCTCTTAAACATATTAATAAACAACCTATATATAAACAATATATAATATTTTCAGACTCCCTTTTCAGGCTATTAAAATTCTCTCATGTGAATATCCACTTTTGATTGAAATAACTGAATTATATAATGATCTTGCTACATCGTTCTCTGTGGTTACCCAGCCATGTTGGAATTTCTGGTAACACAATGGCTAAGGCAGCACTTGACAAATCTGTGGCACTAATTCTTATTCCATACTATAATTTCAAATCTGTGATTAAATCTTACATCCCTGATCTAATGCCAAAGAAGTTGCTCACCCAAGTAGGTATCAATAAACTACATCAAATTAAACCAACTATCGGTTACACCTACTTGTCCAGATTTGAAGACGTCATCATGCAATGATGCCGTAATGGCTACAGACGATATACACATGAATACCAATGCTTCGCACGCCTTGTGATGAAAGAATCACAGTCAAACATGTTTTACTTGACTGTATTGATTTTTCCATCACAAGGGATAAATATTTCAGTGTAAAAACAGTGAAGGATCTTTTTAGAATGGTAATTATTGTTTAATAACTGATTTTTTAAATTAAACAGAATTATTTGAATTTTTTTGATTAATATGTAAATACTCAATGTTGGTTTAAACACTGGTAGATTAAAATTAGTAACTGAGATTGCTAGTGGCTGTATCTTCAAAGGGGGTTAAAGTACTGTAGAATTGTTGTCCTCCTGAGAGGATACGTAAGTCCCAAAACATTCAAAGTACATTTAATCTAGCCACTTTTTTTAATCGTAGAATATGTGTCCTTTTAATGTATGGTTAGATTTGTCTAAATTGCTCACAGCTGAAGGGATTGTGTAAATTCAGCCAGGGTCCATGCAGGCAGCAAATGTACTGTAAGTCCCCATGGTCCCTAGCATGGTGATCTACCTTCAGTTGTTGGCAATCTATAGCCTGTTTTCATATTGTCTTCTATAGTTATAGATTTTCATAGAAGTCTTAAACCTATATCTGTGATCTTCTAGTTGTTTTAGTATCCCTTGTTAATAGGGTTTATAATTTGATTTCATTTATTATGAATCTATAACTTATTTTAGTTATGATATATTCATTTCAGGGAATATGTAAAATAAATTGTCGTGATTTTCAGGGATTTTGTTAAATCCCCTTGGAATTCCAGGGATTTTGTGAAACCACTGAATGATTCAGGAATTTTATAAAATCCATGAAATTTTCATATTTGACATATTCACTGTAACATATATACATAAGTACATCGTCATCATGCGTATGACCTTACAGTTAGTTTAGTGACAATGGCAGGAGACGTAAAACGTAGTCATGGGTGACAGTTTTTGTTAATATGACAGCGTTTGTATCTTGTGAATATTTAGATGACAAATGATTTTTAGATTTGTAGGCTGCCTAGTGCTACGTATAATTTCACTTTTATACAAAATTGGAAGATTGCTTTTATAATGGGCATAATTGTACAGTTATTAGGATTGTAAGTACAAACAAATGGAAGAATGTGCACCTCTGTATTTGTTTCTTTTGTTTTCACAAGTGTCTCTCTTGGGACTTTTACTGCTTTATGAACAGCATTTTCAACTACCCCAAACGTAATCTTACTGTCACCCATGACTACGTTTTACGTCTCCCGCTATTGTCACTAACTGTAATGTCATTTATTCAAATTAATTCAGAATTGTTTGCATTAATTTTGGAGAAATCATCAACCATTGGGTAACTGCAGGATGAAAAGTCTACATCTGATTTGGCCACTGTGGGGCTGAATCAAGACCAAGATGAAAAACATTCAGATGGACCAAGAATAACAGCCAGATGTGGTGACCATGTGGTGTCCTGACAATTCCACATCACAGCACGTTCACTGAGACTCTTGAGGCAGCTATACATGTGAATGTAGACCATCATGTGAATGTAGACCATCAAGCTGAGGCAGCTGTTCGCCTTGCTTGGTGCAGGGTTCACAGTTCTTTGGAGCAGTGGGCACAGGTGTATCCTACTGATGAGACCAGCCTCATCCTCTAGTTCCATGAAGCATGATTTGAGTCTTCAGATGTGATCACTTCAGACTAACAAAGGATTTGATTTTTGGTTGGTCAGCAGTGGTAAGGGGTGGCATTAACTGTCATCGAATGTGTGTAGTGAAGGTACAATTAAAAAGTTGACATGACATGACACAACAGCTTGATAGAGGCAACAGTTGGACCAGAGTCAGCAGAGACTTTCAAAGCTAGATGTGTCAGTGTCACTGAAGCTCATCTGCTCAGAGGAATAAAGACAAATATCACGGTAAAGTCCTCACTGGCTTTCACTCTCAGTTGCTTAAAATGCAGAAGTTTAATCATATGTAAAAGCTGAATGAGCATGTGAGGTTGTTCCCGGTGTTGGACAGCATCGCACAAACGCAACCATCATCAACAATAGCATGCGCCTGCACGTGGACTCATCAACTGTGACGCGTGATTGTATCTCGATTGTATTCAGTCTCGTCTTTGTCTTCGTCAAGTAAACATTTTGTGTTTGTGTATCAGTGTTGAGTGTTATGTGGGCCTGAAAACCTTACAATGGTGGCAGCGGTGGGATGGTGTGAACACATGAAAGAACTTTGAAGGAAGTGCGACTTTAAGAAGAATGTCAAGGAAAGTGCTCTTCATCTAACTGTAACGTGAGTTTGTTCCATTTTGCCATAGCCTACATCCAGTCCAGAGGCAAAAAATATGGCTCAGCAACAAACATCAATGGTCTGTTCTTGTTCTTGTTCTCCAATTGGAGTAGGCACAGGTGGAAGTCCACCACCACAATGTGACAGAAAAAAAATTTCATCAACACACCACTGAGACCATCATTAGGCAGGAATTTTCTTGAAGGCTTTTTTAAGGTTAAAGACTGTGGAGCCCAGTGTACTTCACTGATGAGGAAGATCAGTGGGTAACTGATGCAGTGTAACTGTCTTCTTGAAGAGGCCCTTGAGTGAAGGAGACCAAGAAACAGAGAGAAAGGAGGGAAAGAAACAGAATCATGATAATGGGTTGTTGACATGGCATTTGGGCATGAAAAGCAAATTAGCTTACAGCTTGTGAGGGTTCTTGACATGACCAAGACTACTGCAGGTGCTGCTGTTTATGAGGCTGACGACAATGAGATTGTTTATAGGTCCCCTATGTGAGATTTGGGTGAACATTATTAAGTCTCATCTGTGGTTTAATGGCAGTAGCACATTAAGCAGTGAACAATGATGATGCAAACAGATCAGTGTCAAAGAATTCTATAAATGAGAAACCTCCCCAGCTTCATACAAAATCAAATAATTAAATAAGGTCCTTGACCATGGAGTGCAAGACTGAAAATGAAGCCAAAATCTAACAGGAACCCTCTAATGTATTAGGAATGTGAAACCAGAGTTGCACAAGAAGCAGAAAATTCAGAGGCATGAATGTGAACCTAGGGAAAAGTGTTGACCAGCAGGATGGATGAAAGGGGAAGGGTGATATCATCTGCAAGAATATATAATTAAAATAGATTTATTAAAAGACTGAATTAGACCAAAATGAGACATTTTGTTAGTTTGTTTTATTTCTTAATTCTTTAATGCTATACTCAGCAATGTTCCAGCTGTTTGTTGGATGTCTGTATAATCAGGTCTGGATCAGACAATCTGGTGTTTGACATGACATTGACAGTGTACACAATTGGGATATGATGTCATGTAGCAACCAAGTCAGCAAGCTTGAGCACCTGATCCCATTTGTCACCTCTTATGACATGCATGTGCTGCTTAAGCCAAGTTCTAACTTAAACCTTTACAGGTATCAGTCCATAAAATTGGCATATAATGATATAGCAGCTTTAGTCACCTCTCAAATGAAAGTGGGTTGGTGAATATCTTCATGGTGAAGCTGAGATGTGGTCACAGAAGGAGGAGTAGTATCTTGGACAGACAGCTGAACAGAACTCACCGTCTCAAAGGAGGCCAAATCCAGGCCAAGGGCATAACACCTGGAGTTTTGAGTTTCAATAACAGATGAAAGCTGCGTTTATATGCAAGCAGGGAATATTTGTAAGTTTGGAATGAGACAAAGAACAGTTGAGCAGCAGCATGTCTGCAGATCTTGAAGTAGCTGAGAAAACAAACATTTCCTGAGGCCTTGGCACCCTGATGGACAATGATGTCTTGGGGAATCCTGATGTCCAATGAAAGAGGGTCCAATAAACCTAGAGATGAATCTGTTTGTAATGTACAAGAGAATGATCTATGAATGTATTGTAAATAATGAAATTAGTACATCACCAAATTAATGCAAGTAGTAAAACATTTGTAAAAGGGAAATATGGACAATTTTAAGTGTAAAGAGGATGTTTCCATGTATCATGAGTTACACATCCAATCACAGGTATATTTTATAATTCATTCAATTATGGCAGTTCAGGCACTTCTCATCCAGATTTTCAAAACTGAAATGTGTTAAAACATTGTGTAGATGCTTACATCATTACTAAAAACAGAAACATTAATTTGTGGGAGACAATAGCTTTACAAAATATGACATAGATGCCCAACAGATTGTTGAAATCAAACAGATAACATTTCATATTAATAATACAACTCTCTTCTCAGCCCTTTGTGAGCCACATGGATGACAGAAAATCTGAGAAAATCATCTAAATAAAAAGTAAATGAAAGTAAATTGAGGCATGGAGAGTTGACATTTACGACTGCCAACAACTAGCACTGTTTGGAAAAAAGGGGATGGGGTTTCATTATGTCATGACTGCATTATTGATTGACATAACTCATATTCTAACTCAACTTGTATGTAACAAGGGTTCAGACTGGTCAATGCTATAAATTTCCGACGGTATAATCAGCATATACGGTCGCAATTTGAAAACAGATTCACCAAAACCTTGGAATGTATCCTTACACTATAGGGGTAACGCTGTTTTTCAGGGCATTATCATTTGCAGAAGCCTTAGGTCTTCAATTAACTCCCCTATTATAGCAAAATGGATAGAATTTGTGCTACAAAAGTCAAAACAGTATCAACAGTTTACTTCAAATAACTCGCAACGGGCTGTTGACCCAACACTGTTTACAAGATTTATGACGTCATTTGACAACAGAACTGTTAATGACCCGCTGTTAAGGAATCAGCAGGCCATTATCATTTGCAATGGCCCGCTCATTTCTGATAGTTAAAGTGCTGTCGGAAATAGAGAAAAACTGTTTTTCACATTTATATCTACAATTTAGGTAGTTAATATGTGAAAGTGTGAAATATCTATTAAACTAAGTTCGGCCTAACTACAGTCTCAGTGGTAGGGAGATAGGGATCTTTAAAAAAGGATTTTACTGAGGAGAGATTAGTGCAGAAATGAGCAATGTGGTTTTTTTCAAAGTCCAAAGTGACTTATTTAGAACAGACCATGGCTTTTTGCAAATTAGTGTGCAATGATATTGTGTTACAAAGGACACTTTTTAAATGCCCTTTTTGAAATTAGACTTAGCTTCATTATAAACGATAGCTGACGCAAAAACTTTAACACTGAAACGATTAAGGATTTAGCTACCATGGAGTCTCACTATCACTATAAAAAGAAACAGGTAGGAGGGGTCATCTCAAAAGCAAAACCAGGATGGGTGTCGCAGGCTGTGGTTGGGGTTGGGCTGGGGAATAGAGATATCAGCTAAGATAAGATAATCCTTTAGGGGAATTAAACTGGGGAAGTAAAGAGCATGTCATAACAATTTACAAAATTTAATAATATCCAGTTCTGTCGATCTTCAGGTCATGCCACCTATATATTTTGAGACATTTAATACGATGGCTGATTTAAGCTTTTCTATGGGGATCATACTGTTTTACATATCTCAACATAAACCTTATGAAAGAAAGACACATCAGATGTTCATCAATGGAGACACATTCAATACACATGAAAAAACATAAAATATCTTTGAGATGACCCCTTGTGCCTGTGGGCAGCACATGCATTTCATGCCAGGTGACTCAACGGTCCATCGGCATACCTTGCTGAGCGACCTAATTGCCATCCATAGTCTGATCTATTGTTTTCAGCAGCTATTCATATTTTTTCTAAGCTTTGCCTGATTTTCCCAGTGAACATGCTTTTCTGGATATCCTATTACGCATCCCACTGAACGTCCAGTTAGGCCGAAGTGGGTTATTTCGACATATGCTAATTGCAGTTGTGCAAATTTTGGGTGATACAGAGTAACAGTACGTACTAGTCTGAAAACAGTTTTGTTCTATTTCCGACAGTACTTAAGACGGCGGTTTCATGATAATTCCATCCATTTTAGCTATAACACTATGATTTATTTATCATTGTCAAATTTCGTCAGTGTGCACATAACAAACATGTTGAAGTTTGAAAAGGGAACTACTTTTTCTGGTGATGGTGTAAGTTCAAGGAGTGATATGATTAACCTTTACCTAGAGGAACTTTGACCTAGGTTAAATAATGAATTTCTTTCACGAAAGAACTATACTGTGTTTGACAAATTGGGGACGTATTATGTGTCACCGATATAACTAAATTGTGGCTATATAACCACCGGTAAACAGACCCAATTCGTCAAACACTTAGAGAATAACCAACAAGGTACAAGTGATTACAGGTAATATACCCGAGTTGAAATAATGTCTAATGAGGGCATATTTCCCCGTAATCACTCGTACCAAGTTGGTTATTCTTTTTATTACCCATAATGTCATTTAAAAAGAAGAACCACGAAATATAAACCACTAGGAGACTTGTGACCTCAAACAGCTGATTCGTATTCATGCGTGTATTAAACCTAACTTCTCCAGCAGTAATAATATAAGTACGCTATGGAAAATAGTACCTTGTAAAATCGCTTTAAAATGCAAAAATATCAAGTTTGAAGATTAATCAACATTTTGTTCTGTGGAACTTGAAGGCGTGTTACAGTCACGTCATTGGTCCCAGTGAGTACAGCAGTTCCAAGAAGGATAACTCTAGTTGGAATCCGAGTCCGCCTCTTTGGAGCAGATAGTTGATGTTGAAGTGGTATACACCACCATAAATTGGACCTGAGAATAGTGTATGTACAGAATGAAGATTTACGGCATGCAACAAAGACTGTGGCAGACTCACTTGTCACACTTTTAAGTAACACTTTTAGTCGGTATCTTACGGCTTCTATTTCCCAGAATTCAGTTAACAACATACAGGTTGTAGGAATTCAAGGGCTGTAAAATTCTTATCACTCTTCACTTTCAACTTTACCTAGGTCATTGACCTTGATCGGGGGTTAGCCTAATGGCGGCCATGTTTGTTTACAAACAATGCAAACAATAATTGTTGTTGTTTTTATTTAAGGTTATTTATTTTAAAAAGACTACTATTTATAATGCAATTTTATTGTAAAGTAATAATGTCTAATAAAAAGAGTATTCATATTCTTTAACCTTTATGTTTTCTTTTTTAAATCTTGGAATGTGTGAGTACTGTACTTTCTAATTATCAATGAAACGGTAAAAGTTGTCATGAATCGAACTTGGATGATGAAAAGTAATTCCGTCAACCAATTATATTTCTTCTCTGCTTAGCTGACCAATCAACGTTGAGAATTACTGAAAGGCACATGTGCGATTATCACCAAAATACAAAAATAATCACCTGTGTATCCTTGCCCATATGGGTAATAAAGTATAGCTATCCCCCTAAATAGATTTTTCTGCCTCTGTACGTCAAATCAAATCTGGTAATGAGCCTTGCCCTCTATATATGTGTGTGTGTTTACTAGGTTAAATGTTTTACCATCAAACTCAGCTGAATAAGAATTGTTTGTTGAATCAGAGTGTGAGTGCGAGCTAGCCATCTAGCTATCAATAACCTCATATCATGATGGCTTTAGGGATTGTTATATATATTTCCTTCACCCAGGTTCTATGGCTACTGATCTCTGGTATCACCCTCTACCATGACGAGCTCAAAATACCAGCCAAATAACTTGTGCAGCATTTAAATGGAATCTGTCTTTTGAACAACTGGTCCATTGACAGAGTCTAGTGTGTGAGTAGGACTTCAAACCACATTTAGCAATATTCCCATTACAGAAAGGATCTAGGTCCTTAGTGTGAACAGTGAATGCCCCAGTCAGCATATAATATGATTGTGCCAATTTGGGTCTAAACCTCGCTTAACTTTTATCTCTTTATGAGACATGTATTATCCAGATGTAGCTACCAGGAGACATCTCAATGACATGAAAAGAAATATATAAACACAATTCATACCTGCTCCATGCATAGTCCGGGATTGACAGTGTGTGGTATCAAAGAAGGCATCACTTTAGTTGCTATTAGGTTGTGTGTGAGTCCAAATTTCTTATCACTGAGCATGTGTTTGTAAATCCCTGGAACAAAACAAAAATAGAATATATATTGCCTTTTCACATTAATGATGTTACAAAGCAGAATATTAATTCAGGAGAAAAGCATCATTGCTCACGGTGTATGTTTCAATCAATATGGTGTGAAATTTCAAGTGAAATGAAATACATTCACTAATGTTTGCTATTTATGATCATTTTGACCACACTATCATGACTTTGTTTACTCAATAATATTTTATACAGAACATTTCAAGATTTTCAACTGCTGATATTGAAGTTTGTTCAGAATATTTACATTTTCTGCTTGAAACAGCATTCATTATGATTAAGATGTCATCGCTGGTGGAAATTAAAAGGACAATCAAGTCCATCCATATATTCCCCAAGGGGTACTGAAGGTGCAAAGCTTACTGCTTCATCACCACCACAACCTGCCTCCAGCTTTCAGGGCATCACAGTGGATACTGCCATCCTATAAAGATGCTTTAAGGTATATTCTTCTCTTAGACCATGTCAGAGTTCATTCCACAAAGTATAAAAGATCCTGTAATGAATTCTTCAAGTAATAGGCTAGATTGCTTGATGTGATGTAAATTCACACATCAGTTATCATTGGTAACATCAGCAACAACCTGGGGTAGTAACATTCTACTGAATATTAAATAGAAATTAATTCAAATCTCAGTATTTCTCACCCAATTCTGGACTTATTTCCTCCTACATTGGGAAATTATGTGGTACTTAACTGTTCTGAACAACACTAGTTGCATTGACGAATATGGAATGTACTTCATCCCAAAATCACCTCAAATTGTCCATTGTCTAATTGATGGTGTCAAGGTCTGAAAGGTCTTATGATATTGAGGGGTACATTTACAATACAGTGACAGTGCATCTGAATGCAGCATCTAATAACAAATAGAACTGGAAGAGGGGGGGTTGGGTGGACTTCAATATCCCAAGCTGCCCAGACATTTGGCAAATAATGTCCCACATACCGTCAGACCTAGGCTTGCCAGGGGTTGCTGTGAGACCTAGGCTTGACAGGGTTTGCTGTGAGACCTAGGCTTGCCAGGGTTTGCTGTGAGACCTAGGCTTGCCAGGGTTTGCTGTGAGACCTAGACATGCCAGGGGTTGCTATGATACCTAGGTTTGCCAGGGTTTGCTGTGAGACCTAGACATGCCAGGGGTTGCTGTGAGACCTAGGCTTGCCAGGGTTTGCTGTGAGACCTAGGCTTGCCAGGGGTTGCTGTGAGACCTAGGTTTGCCAGGGTTTGCTGTGAGACCTAGGCTTGCCAGGGGTTGCTGTGAGACCTAGGCTTGTCATGGGTTGCTGTGAGACCTAGGCTTGCCAGGGGTTGCTGTGAGACCTAGGCTTGCCAGGGGTTGCTGTGAGACCTAGGCAAGCCAGGGGTTGCTGTGAGACCTAGGCATGCCAGGGGTTGCTGTGAGACCTAGGCTTGCCAGGGTTTGCTGTGAGACCTAGGCTCGCCAGGGTTTGCTGTGAGACCTAGACATGCCAGGGGTTGCTATGAGACCTAGGCAAGCCAGGGGTTGCTGTGAGACCTAGCTTTGCCAGGGTTTGCTGTGAGACCTAGGCAAGCCAGGGGTTGCTGTGAGACCTAGGCAAGCCAGGGGTTGCTGTGAGACCTAGACTTGCCAGGGGTTGCTGTGAGACCTAGGCAAGCCAGGGGTTGCTGTGAGACCTAGGCAAGCCAGGGGTTGCTGTGAGAATTAGACTTGCGAAGGGTTTGCTTTGAGAATTAGGCTTGCCAGGGTTTGCTGTGAGACCTAGGCATGCCAGGGGTTGCTGTGAGACCTAGACAAGCCAGGGGTTGCTGTGAGACCTAGGCATGCCAGCCTAAAAAACGACACCAAGGCAAGAACGACTCATGACATTAATTGCAACAGATTAAAATCTGTTCCTGTTGTCAATAGGTTAATTTCAACATGTACTGTGAAAGACCAGCTCTATACAGCCTGCCTGAAATCAATCATTATGTATAGGGTTTGGCACTGACAGCTTATCATAAGCAGCAAAGATTGGGCTAGGCAACATAAGAGATATTGTTCACCAATGGCATTACACCATGTTTACAGTAGTATGCCAAGGCATTGTGTGGAGGAGTACCAGACAAGTCAGGCCAATGTAGTTTTTGATAATTGTAAATGGACATTTGACTGGCCAGTGATGTTGATGAAATTTTGCCTCCTGAATAACTTTCATTCACCAAAATTATTTGCAGAAATTTTAAACTTGAACTGAAATGACACTGCAGGACTACAATGCCTTGATTCTGTAGGTGAATTTTGACCACTTTCGATGATTCTCATACACAACTTGACTGTCTTGAAGGTATTGTTCCCTTCCCACGACAAATGTGGTTATGTGGAAACTGAGACAAGGACTACTGTTTCCTATTTGGCTGATGACAGAGTGGGTGGTGCTAGTGTTGTGTTGTTCCACTGAATGATGTCACTGACTGTCTACAAGCAACCTGTTACTAGTTTTGACATATTGGCCAACTGGAATTGATTTCAATATTGTTTGTGTATAGGTTGGTATGAATATTAAAACTGGGGTCTACACTTTGCATAAATCTTATGTATTGATTTACACAATGTGCACATCATATTCACACCTCAAAAATTGAAAAATATAATTCACCTTCAGATCAGATGTATTATTTTCTTTCTTTCTTCCATACGTATCTAATTACAAAACAGTCACAATGAATTGAAAGCAATCACAGAGCAGTCTGCATTATTTTTATGTGCTATTTGACGTTGTGTTTTTTGACTAATATTAAGTTTGGGAAAGATCCATTGGGAAAACTGATAAGAATACAAGAGCCCAGAAACTAAGGTAAGATCTACACTTGATCAGTGGTCGGGCTTGGTAACTGGTAACTGGATGCCATTGTATCACAGTTGCCACTGGTCTAGACCTGACTATTTACTGGTTGCTTTCATTAACAACAAACCAAACAAATTTCAAAACCAGTACTCTGCCAATTTGACTCTGGTCACATGACATCTGACCATAAATATTGAACTTTCAGCAAGCTCTTGTATTGTCTTCTCTTTCATGAGCAACTAGAAATGTACAAATCTGGTCAAAACACATCCTTTTCTGTCAGGAAAAAAATCTTGACAGATGGCCAATGACATGCTGATATAGGAGCTCAACTGTCCATGACCTATAGAATAGAATTTGTCACATGAGTGTCAAAACAGATTGCATTAAATAATCCAATGAACTAATTAAACACTTGATGTCTCTGGAGTCAACCCTTATATACTCTCCAAAACATTTAGGGGATAATGAAATACCAAAACACTACTGATTGCATGTACCTCATGCAGTAGCAAAACTCATGAGCCAACATGTCTTTCTAGATTTTGACACTTTCAAGGAAGGTTGATTTATCTCTGTGGACCATTACTTTTGTCAGTTTTAGTGTTCTGCTTATCATACAGTGATCTACTTCATATTATTCATTGTTTGTTTATGATATAGTGATGCAGTGTCTTAAACACCTGGAGCATCTACATGCTACTGCAATTTTCAGTGGTGTATGCAATGTAATTGTCATGGTCATATACCATGTTTTCAAACGTGTTCCCATTCTCTGTCATACAACAACTTGTTGTTGCCATGCTAGGTGCTCAGCATTACATGGACAGTACATCAGCTGTTCTGCCAGGTGTTCAGCATTACATGGACAGTACATCAGCTGTTCTGCCAGGTGTTCAGCATTACATGGACAGTACATCAGCTGTTCTGCCAGGTGTTCAGCATTACATGGACAGCACATCAGCTGTTCTGCCAGGTGTTCAGTATTCCATGGACAGTACATCAGCTGTTCTGCCAGGTGTTCAGTATTACATGGACAGTACATCAGCTGTTCTGCCAGGTGTTCAGTATTACATGGACAGTACATCAGCTGTTCTGCCAGGTGTTCAGTATTACATGGACAGCACATCAGCTGTTCTGCCAGGTGTTCAGTATTACATGGACAGTACATCAGCTGTTGTGCCAGGTGTTCAGCATTACATGGACAGTACATCAGCTGTTCTGCCAGGTGTTCAGTATTACATGGACAGTACATCAACTGTTCTGCCAGGTGTTCAGTATTACATGGACAGTACATCAGCTGTTCTGCCAGGTGTTCAGCATTACATGGACAGTACATCAGCTGTTCTGCCAGGTGTTCAGCATTACATGGACAGTACATCAGCTGTTCTGCCAGGTGTTCAGTATTACATGGACAGTACATCAGCTGTTCTGCCAGGTGTTCAGTATTACATGGACAGTACATCAGCTGTTCTGCCAGGTGTTCAGCATTACATGGACAGTACATCAGCTGTTCTGCCAGGTGTTCAGCATTACATGGACAGTACATCAGCTGTTCTGCCAGGTGTTCAGTATTACATGGACAGTACATCAACTGTTCTGCCAGTTGTTCAGCATTACATGGACAGTACATCAGCTGTTCTGCCAGGTGTTCAGTATTACATGGACAGTACATCAGCTGTTCTGCCAGGTGTTCAGTATTACATGGACAGTACATCAGCTGTTGTGCCAGGTGTTAACCATTACATGGACAGCACATCAGCTGTTGTGCCAGGTGTTAACCATTACATGGACAGTACATCAGCTGTTCTGCCAGGTGTTAACCATTACATGGACAGTACATTAACTTTTCTGAAGCTTCTGAAGCTAACCCCTGAGCTTGATCACATCAGCTTGCCTTATTTCATGAGAGAAATTTCTGATCAATGTTTTCATTACATAATTAAGTGACCATATCACTGGCTCTCTGGAAGGCTTTGATGACAGCAGAAGGAATATGAATACACAAACAAAAACAGTGCTAAAACTTACACAAAACGATTGAGATGCATGTGAAGTGCATATTGTGTGTACAACTGCGTGTGAAAGAAATGTCAATGCTCAACTCATAAAGAATTAGGATACGCAGAAGTGTGAGAGGGCCCTAAGATGTGATGATGTAACAGATATACTTCTGTCATAGGAGAGCGATTGGCTTCAAATAACTAAGGCACATTTATATTGTAATCGATGCTTTGATAAACACTAACTTCAAGCTGGCAAGTTATAATTTGTAACTCATCTGTAAGTTTGTCTCTAATAACAATGATGATTGATGCCAGATTACACTGAGCGGCACTTGCATTGTTGGCTTTGCTGTGCGGAGCTTTATTTCTTTTTTTGTGAGAAATGAATCAGACATGAAAGAAAGGTGAGAACTTACAACCAGATATTGTTTACATGCATCATTTAGTACCACACCGGAGCATCTACTTACTGTTCTTTGAAGGAAAGGACACTGAGTTTAAATTGGGTGGCATTGTAAAACTGTATCATGATGGCTAGCACAATAAACCATCTTTAGCTGGAACATGTGTATACATGTACCTATATACAAGGGTTGACTGATAAGTTCCAAGTCTCACATGGAAGGATTTGTGTAACATTGTTGCTTTCATGTCTTCATGGATTGGTTTTGGTGTTGTCCTTTACTCTGTAAATTCTTCAATTTTTCAGTATTCAAAGGACCTTTGTTAATATTACTACCTTTTTGTGGATATACTTCAGCGACATCAAAAGATTTCACAATTACTCAATTCCTTCCACGTGAGGTTCTTTGATCATCCCTCAAGCAATATTCTTGAAAGCAACCTTCATACTTCACCTCACCTCATCAATATTACACTGCTTTTGATTGAATAAACAAGCATTATGCTCTGTCAGGTGTCATAGATGCTATGATGTGGACAGTAGGAAATATGTAATATAATAATTAAGCAACAACCATGAATGATTAGTTGATATCATAGAAAGATTAGGTTTTTCCTGATATACTTTATTCACACCAAATTTACTAACCATCCATTGCTGTCACACAATGTGATATTACCACAACTTTGTCATCCTCCCAAAACTCAAGTCATAAGTTAACATACCTACTATTGTCATGACAACTTCAGCATCTTGACATGAAACATCAGCGAGGAAAGGCAAAATTTCATCTAGGATGAGCATTTTATCCAGACTGTCCAACATGTGGTCAATACACGTTAGTGCATTTATTCTGAGCTGAAAGGAAAAGGTTAGTGTTTGTAACCAATGTGTTAGTGCATACATACAGCATTAATCATGGAACTAGAAAGGAAAGAGTCTGTGCAATGTGTTCTGTTTGATGTGAGAGGACAGCATAATCTTAATACAATATTCTTCAAAATTTAAAACACACTATTACCATAAGAAATATCACAGTTTTTCAAAAGGAAATTTCAGAGATATGTCTGCAAACTTGTTCAGTGTACATGACTAAGCCAAAGAGAAACTCATTATCTTTAGTATCTACACAAAGTTGCAGTTTTATCAACGAGCTTCATTATTTATCAAAACCCAAACACTTAAATTCATAATAAAAAAACCCAATGCAGTCCGACAAATAATTGTAAAATATTTCAATACTTTACTCACATGAACAAATCGGAATCATGTATGGTGCTGCAACACATTCTATCATTCAAAATATTTTAGATTTTAACTTTTTAAGATATTTTTTTGTTTTCCAGGTACCTTTATTTTGATAACCCTATGATTTTGAGAGCCATCAGCTATAACCTGATAATCCATATCACTGTCATTATATAATTCCAAATGTTATTAAGATATAGAACACATATGCTGAGACACTATCCTGACTAAACATATATCAAGTTGCATGTCTTTAAATGTTTTCTTCAATGTGACTGCTGTGAACAAATACAAATGGACAATTTCATTTTTGAGGACAAGCATGCCAAGTTTCACTGAAGGGGTTGTTGTCATGTTGGGTATTTAAGAACCATACCCTATCTGACCTGTTCCTGGTGGTGAAGGAGTTGATATAGTGTGTATCAAACAGTCTGGTTAACAGTGTATAAAACTGGCACAACTCAAATGATTTTCAGGCAGGTAAGTTGAGTAATTTGTTTAAGCATTTGTTTAAACTTTCTCTTCACATGTCTGTTGTGCATGTGAAACTATCTCTGGAAATAGTATTCTTACTGAGAACACTGGCTAGGAATAGGAAAAACACCTAAGAAAGTGTCTGATAAATGGAGTTAGACTCCCCAAGCTGTTTCCCAATATTTATCCCTGTATATAAAGAGAGCAGCTGTGTGACAGTTGTTGAGCAGTTCTTTCCACAGTGAAGGTCAGTCAACACAGTCTGAATATATTAATCAACAGTTCAAAAGATGACAACTGTTTGACACAAACAAATCCTTGTCAAGGCCAAACAGGCCTACCAAAGAACTTTCCCACTGTGCAGAAAAACGCAGAAAAGCCCACATTAATCGTGGAAATAGCAACATAAACATATTTTCTCGCTACTGAAACAGTAAAAACGGCAATGAAAAACTATAAAACTGCAACATTTTTATATCAGTGAACTTTGACCTCTACTGCACATGCGCATTACGATCCGTGCTTCTTTCCAATTTCCGAGCAACCGTGAATCGCCTCGCGTAGAAAAAGTATTAAATATGTCGAAATAATTGCTGTCAATCATTTCATACGAATGGAAAGTAAACTAAACAAGTGTGCACACAAGTATCATGATGATAAATGCCAAATAACACAACAGAAATACTTAAAAAGGGAATGTGACTTTTGTCCAAGCTGGAAAATGTCAACATGCGATCGAGACTTCCTCATCCATGTGCGCATGCGCAAAATCGAAGTTGCAGGCTCTTCGTTTTTTTATTCAGTTTTAGCAATTTTAAAGTTGCAGTTTTTACTGTTTCAGTATCAAGGTATTATGTTTATGTTGCTATTTCCACGATTAATGTGGGCTTTTCTGGGTTTTTCTGCACAGTGGGAAAGTTTTCTTTGGTAGGCCTGCCAAAGCCATTCAACAAATTATTGCTACATTTCTTGAAGCAGAGAAATGCAATGCATTATTTATTTTTCAGTCAATTAAAAATGCTAAAGTACCTTTGTTTCGTCATGGAATTGACAGTGACTTGATTCAGATGTAATCTTTGGATCACACTTTCAAAATTCACTTTATTTTGAAAACATCACACTTTTTTTATGAACAACAACTTTTATTAAGTCTTTGAATGGCATTTAGAAATGATACACATAAGGAAGGGGATTTTATGGATGTCAACTTCTTCATTATGAGGAACACAAACATGAAACATATAACTTTATGGACGACAACTTCTTGTTTATTGCATAGATCTAAAAGAGTTGATAACAGTGTTAGAATCTACATCGAGATGTCGCTTTATGCAATAAACAAGAAGTTGTCATCCATAAAATTGTATGTTTCATTTTTGACTCACCAACTTCAAGAATGCAGATCAAACAATGAGTAAGAATATACTCCGAAACAAGTATATGATTACTGGCAGGATCAACCAGTCAGGTGAAGAGGTAAGAATATACACCTAAACAAGTATATGATTACTGGCAGGACCAACCAGTCAGGTGAAGGGGTAAGAATATACACCTAAAGAAGTATATGATTACTGGCAGGATCAACCAGTCAGGTGAAGGAGTAAGAATATACACCTAAACAAGTATATGATTACTGGCAGGATCAACCAGTCAGGTGAAGGAGTAAGAATATACACCTAAACAAGTATATGATTACTGGCAGGATCAACCAGTCAGGTGAAGGGGTAAGAATATACACCTAAAGAAGTATATGATTACTGGCAGGATCAACCAGTCAGGTGAAGGAGTAAGAATATACACCTAAAGAAGTATATGATTACTGGCAGGATCAACCAGTCAGGTGAAGGAGTAAGAATATACACCTAAAGAAGTATATGATTACTGGCAGGATCATCCAGTCAGGTGAAGGAGTAAGAATATACACCTAAACAAGTATATGATTACTGGCAGGATCAACCAGTCAGGTGAAGGAGTAAGAATATACACCTAAACAAGTATATGATTACTGGCAGGATCAACCAGTCAGGTGAAGGGGTAAGAATATACACCTAAAGAAGTATATGATTACTGGCAGGATCAACCAGTCAGGTGAAGGAGTAAGAATATACACCTAAACAAGTATATGATTACTGGCAGGATCAACCAGTCAGGTGAAGGAGTAAGAATATACACCTAAACAAGTATATGATTACTGGCAGGATCAACCATGTCAGGTGAAGGAGTAAGAATATACACCTAAACAAGTATATGATTACTGGCAGGATCAACCAGTCAGGTGAAGGAGTAAGAATATACACCTAAACAAGTATATGATTACTGGCAGGATCAGCCAGTCAGGTAAAGGGTTAAGAATATACACCTAAAGAAGTATATGATTACTGGCAGGATCAACCAGTCAGGTGAAGGAGTAAGAATATACACCTAAACAAGTATATGATTACTGACAGGATCAACCAGTCAGGTGAAGGAGTAAGAATATACACCTAAACAAGTATATGATTACTGGCAGGATCAGCCAGTCTGGTGAAGGGGTAAGAATATACTCCTAAACAAGTATATGATTACTGGCAGGATCAGCCAGTCAAGTGAAGGGTTAAAAATATACACCGAAACAAGTATATGATTACTGGCAGGATCAGCCAGTCAGGTGAAGGAGTAAGAATATACACCTAAACAAGTATATGATTACTGGCAGGATCAACCAGTCAGGTGAAGGAGTAAGAATATACACCTAAACAAGTATATGATTACTGGCAGGATCAGCCAGTCAGGTGAAGGAGTAAGAATATACACCTAAACAAGTATATGATTACTGGCAGGATCAACCATGTCAGGTGAAGGAGTAAGAATATACACCTAAACAAGTATATGATTACTGGCAGGATCAACCAGTCAGGTGAAGGGTTAAGAATATACACCTAAACAAGTATATGATTACTGGCAGGACCAACCAGTCAGGTGAAGGGGTAAGAATATACACCTAAACAAGTATATGATTACTGGCAGGACCAACCAGTCAGGTGAAGGGGTAAGAATATACACCTAAACAAGTATATGATTACTGGCAGGATCAACCAGTCAGGTGAAGGAGTAAGAATATACACCTAAACAAGTATATGATTACTGGCAGGATCAACCAGTCAGGTAAAGGGTTAAGAATATACACCTAAACAAGTATATGATTACTGGCAGGACCAACCAGTCAGGTGAAGGGGTAAGAATATACACCTAAACAAGTATATGATTACTGGCAGGATCAACCAGTCAGGTGAAGGAGTAAGAATATACACCTAAACAAGTATATGATTACTGGCAGGACCAACCAGTCAGGTGAAGGGGTAAGAATATACACCTAAAGAAGTATATGATTACTGGCAGGATCAACCAGTCAGATGAAGGAGTAAGAATATACACCTAAACAAGTATATGATTACTGGCAGGATCAACCAGTCAGGTGAAGGAGTAAGAATATACACCTAAACAAGTATATGATTATTGGCAGGATCAACCAGTCAGGTGAAGGGGTAAGAATATACACCTAAAGAAGTATATGATTACTGGCAGGATCAACCAGTCAGGTGAAGGAGTAAGAATATACACCTAAACAAGTATATAATTACTGGCAGGATCAACCAGTCAGGTGAAGGAGTAAGAATATACACCTACAACTACATATCCTTATAACAACAGTCGATCAAGATTAGTATGGCACTGACCAATGAGTGAGGTAGGGCTGGGATGGGTAGGAAACAATGGAATCGAGTACCCGCATGAATTGAGATGTAGGCGAATTGAGATGTAAGCGAAATGAGATGTAGGCGAATAGAAACTAAACCAGAGTGCTGACGGTATCCTTCCATTAGGCAGACAGGCAGTTTGCAGACACCTTAAAACAACAACATTTACGCTTCAATGAACAGATTAGTTACTACCTGTTACCTATACGTTATAATGGAAAAAACCAAAAAACAAACTGAAGCTATATTATTTACTTTGAAAGATGGCCGAAAAAACATTAATTTGATGAGTTGACATCATTTGAAAACATAGTCAAAAAGACATCTAAAATGATTGGAGCATTTCTGAAATTAAAGTTCCTATAAAAAGAACAACATTAGCAAAAGTATATACTGTAA